TCAAGTAACTAGTAAAGTAACGCATTACTTTTTAATTTACAAGAAAATATCTGAGTTACTTTTTCAAATAAGAAACGCAAGTTACTTTTTTCCCCCAGTTTATTGACTGAAAGCTCTCCTGTCCCCATGTAGAGAGAAATCAGAAGATGTTACTCTAGTTCTACAATAAATGTGAACATGCATTAATTCATCTCACTCACTCACAATAAAAAAAATCTGATTTAGTTTTCCTCAAAATTAATAAAAACAGTTAAAAGCAACTCAGAATATGACTCAAAGCTGCAATAATTAAGTATGTTAAATAATACAAATATCCTTTATGTATTTAATCCCGTTTTATTAACCAATTTACTGCTGACCTTCGGTGATCCAATTCAACAGTACTAATAAGCACAAATTACACAAGATAAACTAACATTTCTTCTTTTTTCATTGCTGAAGAGTGTTGAACTTTCTTCTTCTGCGTTCTACTGTACAGACGTGAATTTACATTTCCTTCAGCCTGAGGCTTTTGCTGTGAAAGGGCTTTTATATTTGCCAAAAATAGAACTTTTTATATTAAAAGCAAACGAGCAAGCCCAGCCCAGATTTAAAAAGTAACGCAAAAGTAACATAACACATTACTTTCAATAAAAAGTAACTAAGTGACGTAATTAGTTACTTTTTTAGGAAGTAACGCAATATTGTAATACATTACTTTTAAAAGTAACTTTCCCCAACACTGCATACAAGATATTTAAAAGAGTACAGTGGTTAAACCTGCGAAAAGTACCAGGGAGCTTTTTTCCTTTTAATGTAAATACCATGAATTTCTGTACTATAGATTGCAGTCTGATGCCTTATATTGCTGTACCATGGTACAACCTCGGTGCCTTTATAAAGGTACCATGGTAAAAAAAAAAATCAGGATAGTACTATGGTACTTGTCTTAAAATGATGATAGTACCGTGGTACTTGTTGCTGTGCAGCTTTAAAATGAAAAATTATTTGCTTTAAATTCAGCAGGACCTTTTTTGCAGTGTTATTGAGTGTATTTGAGATGTCAGTTCAATTTTGAATTACTCTTTATTTTTATATTTTCTTTTTTAATTTTAATTTTAGGTAAAGTTTTAGTATTTTTTTGTGTTTCTGTCTTTTTTTATTAGTTTTTTTTATATATATATATAAATATATGTTTTTGACCCAAAGTTGGGTTGAAACAACCCAACATTTTTTAGAGTGTATGGATATGATTTTTTTAAATTATTTTTTAAAGTCAATTTTAGTTTTAGCTATTTTTGTACACCCAGTTAAACTAGATGAAAATGAGAAATGTTGCTTTGACAACTAACTAAAATAAGTTTATTTTATTTCAAGTTTTTATTTATTTATATATTGTTAAATATATTAACCGTCCCCTCTTGTCATTGTCAAGAAGCATTTTTTTTTTTGGCTGTAGGATTTTTTGAGTATTTGGTTCTAGGAGATTAAAAACATTCTTTGTTACATTTTAGGTTCTTCTGACCATTGATTTAGTTCTAAAGTAACAATAATAATCAAGTAATAATTTCTGCAGTTTGAGACGGTTGCATGAGGATGTTGATTGTGACATGTGATCAGAGGGAAGTGAAGACAGACTCACATGTACATCATCATTTCCAGATGCAATGTCTGTTGAATTGTTGTACTTTTTTTGTAGTCTGCTGATACTACTGTCTGTATTTTCCTCTTCATCCTGTTATAATGTCATTATGAGCTCCATAATGGATTTGTCTGTGTAATCTAGGTATTGCATTTTATCATTGTCCTTCGTTTTACTCGTGACTCAAACCCTGTAGTCGTTCAAACATCGTCTCTCACATTACAGAAACACTGAGTTCAGGTGTCCTATAAATGCACTAGTAAAGTCAGTCTTAAACTATGCGTTGTAAAATCGTTTTTTGAGAGTGATTTACAGCTCGGCTGTTGTTTTTCAGGCTGTCTTTTCTCCTCTTTGCTCATCGCACTCATAGAAAAACAGGAAAGACTCACTGTCCTCCACATCAGTTTTTTCACACAGCAGTTTTTTCCCATCTGTGCATCCCAATGTTTCACTGCAGGAGTTTTGTGTTGCAAGTTGTGTTGTTCTTTGCAGTAACGTGATAAATTAATCACTTTAAAAAAATAGTTCACCCCCCAAAAAAATTGCTGAACATGTGCTCACCCTCAGGCCATCCGAGAAGTAGATGAGTTTGTTTCTTCATCAGGTTTGGAGAAATGTAGCATTGCATCAGTGTCTCAGCAATGGATCCTCTGCAGTGAATGGGTGCCGTCAGAATGAGAGTCCAAACAGCTGATAAAAACATCACAATAATCCACACCACTCCAGTCCATCAGTTAATGTCTTGAGAAGACAAAAGCTGTGTGTTTGTAACAAACAAATCCACCATTAAGACGTTTTTAACTTCAAACCATTTCTTCTAGCTTAAATAAGAGTCCTCTATTCATAATATTGCTTTCTCCAGCGAAGAAGTTGTCTCGATACATCAATGTAAAGCTTATTTATTCAGCTTTCAGATGATGTATAAATCTCAATTAAAAAAAAATTGACCTTGGTCCATGGTCACATATGTGTGTGAATTTTGATGCAAGAGACAACAGGAGATGGACTTTTTCACTGGAGGAAGCGTTATTATGGATTATGGACTCGTATTATGGCCAGAAGCAACAGTTTAAAGTTTAAACGCCATTCCATTGCTGAGACACTGATGCAATGCTACATTTCTCCAAATCTCATCTGAATGACCTGAATGAATGAATCTTGAATGACCTGAGGGGGAGTACATTTTCAGAAAATGTTCATTTTTGGGTGAACTATTCCTTTAAGACTAGGAACATGCTTTAAAGTAGTTTTGATTAGATGTTGACAGATCTGTTTCTAGTTGTTCAGTTTATGAGAGAACCAGTGCCAGACCACAAGCCCTATATATATAAAGAATAAAATAAAGCATCAACAACCAAAAATGGTTGGTTGCATAATTAAAAATGTATTTAAAGAAATAGTAAATTCAACACAAACACAAAAACGACCACTCTTGTGTTTTCGAAAAGAATGAAAAAAAAGCATCCAAGCAACATGCACCAATATAACAATTAATTGTCATAAACAGCATTCTTTAGCTCCATATATTGCTACTAAAACATTTTAATGCATGAAAAAATGCCATGCAGGCACTTCTGCAAACATTCTGGAGTCGAATCGATTTATTGAAACTGCACTGATTTGCAGAAATGAATTTTTGCTGCTAAAGTTTAAATGAGAGAAGTGACTTCTTTGTGTTAGACCTATTCTTGAACAGCTATAAATTTGATCAAAATACCTTCCAGACACATAAATGCAGATTGTTATTTATAGAAATGTATTTTCCATGAATAGTAGTTTCTCATAGGAATGTTGGGTGGGCTGAATCTTCGTTAACCAGCCTCATAATTAGGAGGGTTTGGCCTGCAGTTAAATTAAAAGCATCTCGTTCCTCATACGCCTGCATGAGCGCTTGGACAGTATGGATTTAGAAGGGTACTAATTATGTGCATTGACTACAATACTAGAACAGCTGATATTTATAGCAGATTCTTCTCAGTTGTGTAACCAAAAGCCTCTCAGTTTGTATTTACTGTCATTCATAATCATCAGGTTTTGTGCTCTAAAGTGTCCACATTAGAGAACATGGCTGAACA